CGAGGTGTTCCCTTTTTTTATTTTACATACACCATTGACCATATTTCTATTTTCAATTACAAGAATGTCTCTATCAAATGCGAGGCGATACACACAGATAAACTCGAGAGTGCTGGCTTGCTCTGCTTTGCCGGGTATTCAAATCGAAATTCCTCATTTCATTATGTGATAATGAAGGTATTCTTAAAAAAATCTAAACCAGATAAATCTCATTGTGCATATAGGTATGCCAATCCTTTACATATATTGTTCAGTTGATAAAAGTATCAGCATTTGTAGCAGTGGATTTTTTTACAACACTGAGGAATGTGTATTATGAATTTACAGCATTCGACTATCGTCTTGACGATTGTCAAACCTTATTTGAATGGTTGAAATTAATGAAGGTGTACAGGAACGTACTGGGATTCTGAAAATAAATTGCAAAATTTGAAGGGACGGGATGGACAGTTTTGGTTTTCATTCAGAACTACTTCCTACTACTATTCATAGAACTTTGAATTTGAAAGATCTGTTTTGGAAAATTCACAACCTATTCAAGTAACACTTCATTCTAAGATTTCATTGAATAGTTCACGATACCGCAACGTTTCATTATTCAGTAGTTTTCTCAGGCGTGTTCATACTAACTTAATTCTATCTAATTGGTTCTATATACAATAAAACAGTTCTAATCATATGATATGATTCTGCTTACTTCTCATCAAAATAATAAATTACACGATTAAAAAACATTTTTATCTTCATAAACTTGATTTATGGATGAGGTAACTCATTGGCCGATTCTGCGTGATTATCCATAACATATTTACGTAACATTTCATTGTGAACAACCTACTTATTGCCTGCAACCTCACAAATAGAACCGATTTATATAAAGGCTGTTTCTTTAATCATGTGGTAACATTGTTATATTCTAAACCGTAATAGATACGAAGGCGATTAAATGGGAAAAGATGTAACTGTCATCGAGAACAATACAGTGGTTGAAAAAAAATTCGGGGACTCTGGGACTCACGTCCTTCTCGAATTATACGGGGAAAACCAAAATGCGGTTTTTCGTTTTTTTCAAATGGAATTGTTAGGTATTTCGAAGAATATCAAAAAATGGAAAATGAAAATGTTATTGTATTCGAAGTGTACTATGACGATGTAATGATAAATATTCGATAAAAATGTTTCGTGTCAACATTGCCACCATCAACATTTTTTTGAAATGCATCTGTCTTTTTCATTATAGATATTGATGAAGCGAGAAATTCACAATCCAAGAGTATATCACATTTGATATTTTTATAGTGTTTCATTTGAAATAACTACCATCATCAGTGAATGAATGCATATAAGTTGTCGGTCTAGACAATTTCGTTGGTAATTTTCTAGCATAANCAAAAAATTGGGGCAAACCGCGGACACGTGTTTCTGGCTATTGGCCTCATCAGCGCGGTGCAGCCAAGTGTAAAGATGGGCAACACTTGTTTGCCGAAATCGAAACAACACAAACGCACAGAGTCAACAACAGGAGGCAACCGCACATTTGTGGTTACAGTTAGAAGACCTAGAATTCCCAGGCTACATCTAATATGACCACGGAGAGAGCTAAAGCTTCCTGCGTGACATCCGGGTCCAGGATATAAATACAAATAGAGATTTTTTCGAGTATGCATGATATAAATAAAAAATTAAACAATTTGTGGACCCAACACTCCAAAAATTGGGGCGAACCGCGGACACGCGTTTCTGGCTATTGGCCGTGTCAGCACCATGTAGCCAAGTGTAAGAATGGACAACACTTTTTGCCGCAAACTACACATATGCACGGAGTCCACCAACAGAGCCAACCGCACATTTGTGGTTTCACTTTGGAGACGTAGGTTTCGATATTCTATTTCGAAATGTTCATTTTTTCAATCCATTATTTGAATATTTGCAACTAGAATTATGTTTTTCTCTTCTTCATGTAGACGCAAACAATTTCTTCCATTCTCAATTTCATTGTTGGGCATTCCGTATTTGATGACAAACTGAAATAAAAGTCATGATATATCAATTTGAAACATGTTCGATTTCAATGGAATAAATTCTCCATCCAAGAAAATATGAAGCAGTCTTTAGGAGTTACATGTGATTCTGCCACTCCTATAGGCGTTCGTTCCGTCCACGTTAGTTATTGTTATTAGATATACGTTTTTTATTTGACATTAAAATCAATTCTGAACTGAAACTTGCTTTATTCTATGTGTGTGTTTTGTAATAGACCTACCTGAAAGAGACAAGTCTGATATAAATTTGTATGTTTATGATCTGAAGGCAAGATAGGAGTTCTTTTTTAATGGATTTATCTCGACTTGTACCTACCGCCAAGGCCTTTTTGTCGAGGGAAGAGTCAACGCATCGATTTTTCATTCCTTCTCTGAGTTTATGTATCAGACAGATATTATTCAAACATTGAAACAAAATACTAATGCAAAAAAAAACTTTTTATGTGGACTTAAAGGTAGAGGGAATTATAAAATCTATAATGTCCCAAGGGAGTTATGACCCTCTTTATTGATAGCGTAACTATGACGATATAAGCTTATAATATTTCGGTAAGAAATAAATGTATTTACTTACATCACATTGGAAACCTCTTGAATCGTTACTGTTTCTCCACTATATTATGCATGTTATGAAATCCTTAGCGTAGTTTTGGAGATCTAAGCATATATAGGGACAGACATCAGGAAGCGACTTTGTTTTATACTGTTTAAAATCTGTATACTATACAATGTAGGGATATAAAAATTACAGGTAATTGTCAACAAATTCAGTCACTGAATATTTCAATAAGGATAATGATTCAGAAATCAATCACACTCTTCATTTTATAATCAAAACTAAATTTTTAGCTTGATCCAATCTGTACAAGTTATAATCATCAATGGAGATATTATCACCACTTATATTGCTTGTGAGCCAAGATTCACATATAAGAAAAATCTCAAAGAAATACTTAGAATCTAATAATTCAGTATCCCTTAACGAAGGTATCAAGTATCTAGTATTTAAGCTACCTACCTGCAAAAATCCGAAATGACAAGGTCATCTACATAAACTTGCAGATCCCCTTTTCTTCTGTCGAGGGCATTAAGCATCAAAAGCGTCCACAGAAGGGGAGATAGTACCCCACCTTGAGGGCAGCCTCTGATGACCCTGAACCTGATGGTCTCGCCTTGAAGAGTCGTAGTTGAAGTTCTGTTTACCAGCATGGCATTGTCAAATACTCCTTCAATATCGAGAAACACAATAACCGCAATCTCTTTGTTTTCAAGAGATTGGGAGATTTTCTCTACAAGGTTGTTTAATGCTAAATTTGACAATTCACCGGTTTGATAAGCATACTGGTGTTTTTTTAGGGAGGATGCATATAATGCCACCCTCCTGATATGTCCGTCCAGTATCTTCTCAAGTCGTTTCAACAGTCCTCTCAAGATGGAGTAGTAGAAAGCCAAAAACTTTCTTTCCCAAAAAGTATTCACACCTGAAAATATAATCCTTTCAATATAAACAAATATGTAGTATCTATACATAGGTAGGTTATATTTACTTCCTGAGTACCTAGACATGTATCGTAATTAACGTTTTTAATTTTACAAATGCCTGGATGATGAACACACATCCGAAGATGATTTGTTCGGGATTGATTTAGGTTCGTTCCAACCTTAAGTCACCAACAGATTTCCAACAGTTTGTACATCGTTGTCAAATATTGGTTTCTGATTAATTTGAAATTTCTGATTGGAACAGCTGATAGTTCAACTAAAGTTTGGCATGGAATTTCAACATAATCTTTAAAAATAAATCTAATCAAGTATATTTCTGGAAAGTAAAAGAAGGTTGCAGTATTCTAAATATCTATTCTATTTACTAATCAACATGGAACTGGGAGGTAAGTAGGTCACCGCAATAATTAATTTGTGTAATTGAAGATGTTCATATTTTAGGTTCACTTAAAGAATTCCTCATTTTTCCTGCGCCAGCAAATACATAATTTATTTTATAACAATTTTTGCAGGTTATGTTGTTTGCAAGTTGAATTAACATAAAACAGAAACAGTAATACGGAATACGCATGCATCAGATTAATGGTTAGAAGATAATCATCAAACCATTCTGATAGATTTCGAACAGGTTTGAATCTTGGATGGAACAGAAAACTGATAGTTTACTAATGGTTGGAAACTCACGTTGGATCGCAATCACATTACTGCGCAGAATCCTGACTGTCAGAAACTGTTTCTGACGCTGGTTGGAACGAACCTATTAATTTGTTTGGCTGATATTATAACGTCCGGTCATGTCGAAAATATACTTCAGTACATTTTCGATAAAAAAGTTACAGTGGAAATCAGAAATTGCGAGAAAAGATAATGAATATCCCAAACGTCAGCGTGATAGATAGGTCAAAAACCTCATAGAGGATGAGAGCTGGAATGTTTAGTGCTGATTATAATTCTCAATTTCAATTGTAAGATAAACTGACAATAATAATATCTGTTGTTTTTATATTATCTGATTTGTTTTTTCGTTCTTTATAATTTAAGAGATTTTGATAATTCATTCCTTGATCACAATAATTCAATTATTTTTAACCAATTCAGCCGAATATTCGGTTCCATAATTTTCTTCATCAGATTTTCTGATTTTTCCACTTCAAACTCTTCAAATTTGTTGACATTTTCAGATGGACGTAGTGAGGAACTATAATCTTCATGTAATTCTTCAAATAATTTTTTGTTAAGAATCAGAGTTTTACTTTCGACTGACTGAAATATTATTTCATACAGAAGTGAACTAGGAATAGGTTATATGAACTGAATGTTCGACACTGAAATTCAACAAATATTTTCCAAATATAGTTTCTCAATCGAAAAAAAATCAAGAAAAAAATGTTTATATTACTTTTATTTTCATATTCAGGAAGGCTCTTTCAAAAACAAAATGAAAACTTAATCTAGAATAGTCCAAAGATGTTCATTTTTTCAAACCATAATAATATAGATATGACCCATGATAATATATACATTATTTATGTATATTAATATATCATATTTGTGTCGGTTTCTTTGTCTTGTATTTTGACCTCCTTGAGACGTTTTTCTAGAGCTGTCATTTTGGATTTGATTCTTTGCGCTCTGCATTCCAAATCAGCATAAAAATGTTCAACTCTTTTTCCACTTTTTTTTGACCACTCTTCAATTCTCTGCAAACACTCACATTCCATAGGGTTGGAATCAATATGTGTCGTATCTGCTCTAAAGAGTTTGTCGAAGTCCCCTTCGAAACAACTTATATTATTGTTGTTGAGCCGTAAATCATCGATAACAACATTTTCTAGTAAATCATCTTCAAATTGTTCAATCTGATTGAAATCTAGCCATAAATTATTGATTTTCTTCAATCCCGCAAACGCCTCTGAATGGATAGTCTTGATTTTGTTGTGGCTGAAAATCAAATTGATTCTCAGATCTAATTTTCCATATATTTTTTCACCTTCCAGATTGACAAAGGCGTGACTTGGTAAGGTTTCGATGGCATTATTTTGTAGTGAAATCCTCGTGAGAAGTGGAGTATTTTGAAACCAATTAGGGTTCCAACGAGTTATTTTGTTATCAGCTAAATTGATATTCAATAAATTTGGCATATCATTGAAAGCATTAGCAGAGATACTTCTTATAGAATTCAGACCAAGATCCAAAGTAGAAAACGGCAAGTTGTTGAATACTCCTGTTTCAATTTTTTCTAAACTGTTACCTAAAAAAAAAGAAGTTATGATAGTATATTATGAAATTAGTTTATAATGCAGGAGATTACTGTATACCTAAATGATTTCACGAATTCTGAAATCTGAAATTGTAATTGCAGAATATTTTGGTCAGGATGATGCATAGAATCGCTAGTGTGATCACTTGGACCCCTTCTTCATGTAAAAAATGTGGAAACTGTCGACCTAAGGCACTATTGATAAAGAAATGATGAAGAGATCCAATAATCCACAGCATTCCAGCATTTGGTCGGTTGTTCACTCAGTCAATCGGCCCATGTGTGAGTCGATGATTCAAGCCCCAGGCTGAACGATCGATATTCACTTGCTATCGTCAAACCTGTGTTAGGAATCACACGTTGAAAGGTAAGACCTCGTTAGTCCTTAGTTTCGACTTCTGGGGGTTGTCGTTCGTAGGAGTGCGATAGTTGGTTAACGGAAAAAACATATGTAGCTTAAAAATTTTAAGTTGACACTTCAACTTTCAAAGTTTACACTTTGGAATAAATCGATCTCGGGTGAGAGAGTTTTTCACATTATACTCCATAAATGAAACAATTGAACAAAATACGTACGACCTATTTCGCTTCTTGTACCATTTATCAAAATGTGGAAAAAGTTGAATCGATTTCAGTTTTTGACAAAACAAAAGCGAGTCGATCCAATCAAGATACTAGATCATTGTTAAGAAGTCGAATAGATTATGGAACGGATAAAATTATGGCATATTTGATAAATTGTTACATACATAGGAATGAATAGAAGTCAGATAATCGTTTCGTAATTTACAATGACGAATTTGAGAACATATTGAATGTACTGGGACCAAAAATGTTCAAACAGAATGCAAATTACAGACATGTTATATCTGATTAGTTGCTTGTTGTTGTCTCCTGAAGTTTCCACATAGCGAACTCTGTTTATAAAAATACAGACAAAACACCGATACCTTTTGATTTTTCCGCCTGCCGACGGGACATTTCGTTGTTGACGAAAACAAAATCTTCCAAATGTTTTTTATTTTGACAACTCAAGTTTTTGTTTTGTCTAATTCGACGCAGTTGCTGTTTTGTTGTGGTTTTGTCCGTTTGGAGGATAACCGTCTCTAATCGTTAAGAGGAGTAAGAGCGGAGAATTGACGAGGTCTGATGTATCAACAGACAATAAGACTGAACAGACTCAACAATTTACAGTTTGTCAAATCCAGGAAGAGACTTGAGAATTCTCTCTCTCTCTCTCTCTCTGTCGCTCTTATAGTCTTCTTACAAACGCACATCTAGTGAGCGAGACCATATAACAATTCAGAAAGCTCTTTCTACATTTGACAAGCTGTACATTCAACATATTCACTTGAAGTCGAGGCTCAGAACAAAGATTGAACCTATATTCACAATTGCAACATTTCATGGCCAGAATTCACCAACCAAACAATCAACTTACTTTATTTATCAAATGAAAAATCAGCCTGACTGAAATATATTCACCTTTCAAAGATAATCTCCTGAGAAGAGGTACGTTCTTCAAAACTCCAGGTCTAATTTCGTGAACTGCACAATTTTCGATAACAAGTTCATCCAATTCATCTAAATCTGCCAAAGAGTTTTCGTACAATATTGGAATATTTTGGTTTTTGAATTCAATATCATCATAATGCACTTTCGGAAGAAAATCCTTCAAGCTGTTAGACAACGGAATGGTTTTCTTGAATTTCTCTATAAATACACTATATCCTTTGAAGGTTACATTTCTGAATGTTATCTCCGATGGAGCCGCGAAACAAAATGGTAAGACTAACAAAATTACTGCCTGAATAGTCAACATTTCACTGAGTGATACAGTTGGTATGGATATAGTTCCTTCATATATATATTTTATCCCAGCGCTATTTCTCTGAATAAATATGTATATTTGAATCGAGGGCTATCACTTGATAACCCCACTTAATGTAGAAATGTTTGTTGATTCACGAGCTTCAACAATTACTTTGAATTGTGAAATGACGTGAGGATTCTCGGATACTTTGGATTTTTGAGTTCTGATTGTTCATATTCCGATTATATTGTTTTCCAAATCGTTTGGAACAAAATAACTCTATGAAATGTTTGGCATACTACGCGTAGAAAATAGCAACAATCTGAATTTATTGTTGAATGTTACCTTGAGAAATGGATGATATCTCAAAATAGATCATGTGTAGAAGATTTGAAAACTGAAAACTTCATGGAATGTCATCAAACTATCTAACACTAGTAAGCCACCTTGTCTTCGCACGGGTGTAATTTAGAGTTGTAATTTTATCGTGAAGCTTAGTTCAATCGAAAACTCGATTAGAATAATTGAAAGAAGAAGAAGTCACATGCACAGTATCAGCTTGGATTATGGAGGCATCTTTTGATCTTTACTTCTATTTCAGTTGACTGTATGAAAAATGCGTTTGAAAAGCGTTTGTTGTGACACCTTCATGAAACTTCATGAAAGTTAAACATACATTCTTGCAGGTGATTTCATGAGGAATAATGACTAGATACCATAAAAATATAATACATTTTTTCGAGAATCATGGATAGTTTTCATGAAACATACCCAATAATGACATTTATAGGTAAATTTTCAATACTTAGGGTTACTTTATTGTAATTTTTGGATATGATGTAGATATATAATTTTCACAGACTATAAAAATTACACGCTATCTAACATACTAACTGATACTAATGATTGTTTATAGGTTATTCGAGTGCTTTCACCTATCCCCTCTTCCCTCAATCCGCATCACTGGTTCAACGGGAGCTGAAAGTTTGGCGGAACTTGTCCGTTTTCCGCTTGATTATAAATTTCCAAATGTTGCGTATCTCTACGCTAGCTTGGCTAAATGTGTTGTTGGACAACATAAATGTGGCTTCTTTGAATTTTCTACCAAACCAGTGCTCCTCCTTATGGACAATCTCAGCTTGAGACTACTTGTTATGTCATGTTGATGAGTTCAAATATGTTCTGCTATTCCTGATTTGCTAGTTCCTCCTCGTTGTGACTGTTTCTTGAGCTCGGCAATACGGACTTTCAAAGGACTCTTAGTTTCACTGATGTAGGATTTTCCGCATTCGCAGAGTATCCGGTAAATGCAATTCTTGGATTCGAGTTTTCGGTATACAGATCGTTCCTACTTTATATCAGTCCTCTTCACCAATACGTCTAAGAATGGTAATGTGTTGTGGACTTATTTCTGCATTGTTAAAGTGATGGACGGTCTTACGGTCCATCATCATGTGTAAAGAATTCGTCGTTCAGTTGGAAATAACAGTTTCGTACGCAGTATCCTAGTAATTCCATAATCACTTCTATAGGTAAATTCGTTCTATCTTTCATTATGATCTCCTATCACGTAGTAACGGCTACATCCATCAATTTATTAGAATGAAGTTCGTTTGCCCGACAATGTCTATCTTCATTTTTCGAGAAATGCAAAACAAAAACTACGAGTATATGATATAAAGAATACCTTTCAATCAAATTATCCACTCCATTTTCAATTTAGAAAAAAATATTGAATTGCTTTGAAAGGTAGGAGATGAAATCAAAATCATGCCTTCTTTGTTATGAACTCAGATATGTCTCGCTGAATTTGATATCGAAATATATTCACAAAAATTCAAGAGTGAAATGAGTTCCATGGTACATTATCCTATAGTTTTAGAAAAATAAAAATCACTTTTACAATATAACGAATGTTACCATTCATTTGAATGATGAGCAGAAAGCCAAAGAGTTTTATCCCAGAAATAAATTTCTCTGAGGAAAATCAACAATTGGATTTAAACTGACTACTCCAATAATCATAGAACATCAAATGCATACAGACTGATACACAGATTATGGAATATTAGCTATTGTCTTACTTCCATTCCAAATATCTGTTTGTACCATCCAGTATTGGTTCTTTCAACAATTTACTTTTCTTTACTTTTCAAATTCAGTTTTAAATAGTATACCACTGGTAGTATTTTTGTCTGGTGATGAAATTGTAGCCAGCTGTATATTTTACTAATCCTTAATATTATCTTGCGAGAAAAGTGTTTTTATAGTTTATTTTGTATCAGTTCTACCTTAAATAAAATCCTGAGCGATCCTCATTTCAGATGAACATGCAAAATTTGTAATACCATTTTTTCATATTTGTTGGACAATTTGACATTTTCCAAATGGAATCTCATAAGATTGAGATTTTCGACGTATGAATGTAAAAATTCCCATCGAAAATAATCCGCCATTATTCATATTTTTCTGGATTTGGGTTTCCACATTCGATTACAACAATTTTCATTTTTTTTCCATGTTAATCACTAGCTATTATTGTTATTCACTGAACATTTTAAACGCTGTTTGACATTGGCCAGACCTGTATGAGGCCACAACATCATCAAGAGTAATATCCAAGTTGCTTCTCGCATTCCTTCTCTCTCGTAAGTCGAGCTGCACCCTACTGGGACCTACAGTCATTTTTTATATTTGTAGAAGACGCTATAAATAACAAAACAGAAGCTGTCTAATTAAATTGACAGGAGCGGTACGATCAAAATCTTTTGAACCTGAAAAATAAGCCGGCGTGTTCATAACTCTGGTTTTGTGGACATTAATATTCATAATTCTGTAAATTAATAGTTTATCAGTCAGGTTTATTTATAATTATTATTGTTTATTGATTGATAATACATACACCAAAAGCGGAGAATACATCTTCTTTTGATGCTTATCCGATGATTTAAGCCGAATTATGTATTGGGCGATTGTAGATAACCATTAGAAATAATTCAACACAATGATTTCAAGAAATGTTTTTCAACACTGTCAGGGTCAACGATACGGCATATATATAGGATGAGAATTAGTTTTCATGTCAGATTGAACTATTTTTTGTGAGTTATACGCCAGGAAATTATCAGCTACTTTCATGTGAAAGGATAACAATACGTTATTTTTATTTACGAAGCATGTTATTATTCATCTACAATCATCTACAAATACACTGGATGATTTCGTTCAGCTCAGTTATGCATGCATTCATGTACAGTAATTTTAAAAAATAGATTGGTCGTTCACATGAAATGTAGCATTTTTTCCGCGGCTATATCAAGATAGATGTAGAAGTATATTTGCGTAAAATTTTCAAAGCTGTTATGGTTCGTTTCAAATAAATTGAAACTGTAAATTTCATCAGTTCAGCTCAGAATAATAAATTATGATTTAGTGAATTATGAAGCTTTGAATAAACTCTTTTTAATAAAAGGTAAAACTGGAACCTCTCGCGAAGAATAAATTCAAAACAAGCACTATTCTCAATCATTAGAAATGCAATGTTCTTCTTGTCGCGTGTTTCACCATGAGATGCCAACTCAGCTTAATCTCTTTAAAACCCTAGTTTGGTTGGTGAAACGGGCATCAAGAAGAGTGTTGCATTTCTGTTGCTTGGGAAAAATACTCGTTTTGGATTTACTCTTCATAAGGAATTAGTAACTTCCTCAGCTATACCGCTTCTGCTTGCATGGAATTTCAAGTGTTGCTTATCATCTCAACATTTTTTTCTTCAGTGGTGAATTATATTTCGGAATTAGAATCTTTGAAGAAATCTTGAAATTATACAGGTTTTGAATTTCTTTCACGGATTATACTCGTACAGCACGTACAAATACCAGTACATAAATCCTGTTTTTAGCTCATCATACTAGTGCTTTCCCAAAATGATAGGTTGGTTCTACTGCCTCCATTACAAACGATTTGAAAATAAGGTAGACTAACTTCCTGTGCTGCTTCAGTTTCTATTAAAAATATTTATTTCTCAACAGTATAAAATACAAATACAATTTAATATGATTAGAAGATGAGTGGGACTGAATTCGGCAATTCTTATAATGTTTCATATACATAAATAATTAAATTTATTACTATTGTCAATTACTCATTGGTTTCCCAATGTATCAATGTTCCCACCTGTATCATAACAGGTAGTGACCAACATTGAGAACATTATCAGTTTGTTGAATATTCCAAAGTTTGTTTGAAAAATAATTTTAAATTTATCTCAATTAACTGTCGTGGCTTACAGAACAAATAATGAATATTGAAGTGGAAGATGTTTAGTCTTCCTCTTGAAGATGATCACTTGGTGATTGAAACACGTGTAGAAGTGTTGAAAATAACGGTTTGGTGTTGGGATTTAACTCCAGTAATATTCATTACTACACCAAAGGTTCAAAACAGTGCATCACAAGAACAAATAATATTTGAAGCAGATTGATTGAAAAAAAATCAAGACAAAATTTCAGTATCAGATAATTTTACCTGACTATTACATGAGGCCAAACTGTAAAATTAATTCAAGTCAATTAAGACGCAGGTACCTAGCAGAGGTACTATGGTATGAATAAGGATATCATTGTATGTATATTTAGTTCAATCTTCCTCTTGAAGATGATCACTTGGTGATTGAGACATGTGTCGAGGTTTCAAAATAACGGTGTGGTGTTGGGATAATACTCCAGTGATATTCTATAGTAGTTGTTTGTTGTTCAGTAGTTCCGAAGTTTATACTCTTTCTAACAGTTCTTTCAATATAGACTCGGAGACATGATAAACTGGTGTTTTGATAATTTCAGTGAGCGAGCATAATACTGGCCTAACGTTCCACCGTGCAGTTGACTTGAATGTGTGAATGACAGCCACAAACCAAAGGAGACATAGAAGTCATAGACATACTCTTCCTGGAATCTTCTGAAATATTCACTAAATGTGGAACTTATGTTCGTCATTTCCAGAAACGATTCTTTTTGTTGTTGTTATTGGTTCTACGCAACAATTCTCAT